ATATATATATATACATATACATATATATATGGCTTTGCACACTAAGCCATATCATGATTTCGGATGTATTTTCCATTAATCGCGCAGTTCTAGCCGCTGACTTACATTTTATGAATCACCAAGGACAACGGTTACATCTAAAAATCTTCTTTACTGTTCTACTCAAGAACTAAAGTCCCCTACATCTTGGATGGCCTGAGGGCAGCAAATTTTCATTTTTGGACGAACTCTCCCTATAAGACATAAGCTCATCTGTGAGAAACTGACTGAAATGCAAGTCACTATTCACTGAAAATATTCTCCTCCACCACAGCTCTCAAATCGAATATGGCAGCATTGGCGCAAATCCTGTTTGACTGTGAGAACTACTTGCACCATTTTGTAGTTAATATGACTTCTGTCGTCTATTTCAAGTGGAAATGGTATCAGAAAAATAATGATTTTCAATATTTTACTCACACAAAGCTCTGACCTCAGAACACTTTGAATATAACACTACAACTAAAGACTTATGGTTTACATTACACAGAAAAAAAGCAGCTAGGATCACCGTCAATGATCTCATCCAACAACATGAGGATGAGTAAATAATGAAATCATTTTAATTTTGGGGTAGATTATAAGGTTACACTTTATTTTAAGGTGTCCTTGTTACAGTGTAATTACTTGTAATTACATACTTGTATGTAATTATTCATAATGAATTGTTATTATAATAGTAAGTACATGTAACGTGTAACAAGGACACCTTAAAATAAATTGTTACCGATTATAATTATAATTCCCCCACAAAGAGTCATATTCGATAATCAAAAGGAAGGTTTTCTGGTACGCCCATGTTAATGGCAGCTTCTTTGCATGACCAGAAAAACTTGTTTCAATAGAGTGAAATCGCCCTGCAATAATCAAAATGATAATGTCATCTGTCAGATTTTAGATGAGAAACGTGTCCACGGCTCTCTCAGGAAGGGCCGGGTTTGAAGAGAGAGAGAAGAGGGGGTGGTGGGGGTTCATGCTGATGAGTTTATCTGATGACACGGGCCATCTCGCCGTGCCAGGCCGCACTCAGCAAGGAGAGAGGAGAGAAGGTTAAAATCTTTCCTTTCAAGGGCCTCAATCAGGCTCAGAGGAAAACAGTAATCAGTGTCTTTCAGTCCGGGGCCCGAACGCAGCACGGCCCTTTCTCCGCCAGCCAGACCCGAGCAATCAACCTGCCAGGCATTAGCAGCGGAAAGACAATCTGAAAATAGGGGGTGTAATGCACCTGCCAGCAAAAATGCCCATTTGGAGAAAAGCAAGCGATCCTGGTGACCCCACAGAGGGGAGGAGAGAGAGAGAGAGAGAAACATTTAACAGAATTCACCCTGATGGCAGATCCCCTTCCCATCGACACCTCATCTCAAAGCAGCAGCAATTACAGCTTTTGTATCCCTCAAGAAATAAAAGCTTTTTGCGGGAGGGAGGGCGTAAGCAGAGAGAGAGAAAGAGAGCAGCCAGTAATCGGCAGGCTTTGTCAAAGGACGATGTATTAATGCAAGCGCCCCATGGGGTCAGAGGTTGTTCGAGAACAAGACTAATGCTCTTTGATGTCCTCTGCAGGTGCACGGAGTCCGTCGGACGCAGGAAAAGAAAAGGAGACGCAGAGAGACCTCTGATCGCTGACTTCTACGTTTGTGCTTGTGAAAGAGGCCCGAGCGAACCTCAGCTCTGTGAATACAACTCCAGGACTTCTGCGCGACTCAATGAAGGGGGTCTTCGCGATGGGCTTTACAGCTGCAAAACAGAACAAAGAGGTGTGCGCAGCTCTTCGGGTCGCATCCTTCTCACGAGAGGAAGCTCTGTTGAACAGATCGATAAAGATCAGTGTCCCATTTAGATGCTGGATTTCAATGTTTGAATACACCTCCAAAGCCCCAAAATGCTGTCTTAAGGTGCAGCCACCATTGTTCTGCACATTTTCAAGGCCAAAATCCAGTTATTTCAATAGGAATTCACAAGGTTTGGTATTCCGCATATGGGCGAAAGATTTTCCCACACAGATTTTGCAACAGGTTGAGTTGGTCACATGAAATCGGCCAGTTGCTTATTTTAAACGTGACTCCAGTGTTTCGTACCTTGCTATACTATTGACAATGGCTAATTTTTTGCTAAATGTGTGCTACACGTTTAGCAAACAATGAAATAGATTGAGACAATTTATGTGCCATTATTTTTTTGTGAAGGCTTTATACACACATGCACCTTTAATGACCAAAAATGCTGTCTTAAGGTGTGGTTAAATGTACCATTGTTTAGCTAATGTTCGTGGACAAAATCCAGGCAATAGGAATCTACTAGATCAGGAATTTTGCATATGTGTGAAAGACTTCCCCCCCAAGCAGATTTTGCAATGGGTTCAAGTTCAACTTATACTCCATTACTTTTTTGTCATTACCAAATTAGTTCGGTCTCAAAAAGTTTGTGCAAAACAGATATAAAATGAGCACAATGGGGTTTTTTAATTATCCCTATAATCAATGTTGTAATTCCTGAGTCATTGACTGATAGCTGATGAATGATGAAATAAGTGCATTTAGGAGATGATGGACAATAGTATTAATTTAGAGATGCATGGGATCTGTGAAGAGCTGGGCTGAGGGTTCCTCGCTTTAAGAGAGATGCTCTCCATTTGAGAGGCTTCTTGTGATTAGCACAGGATATTAACCCTCCCATGAGCACAAGGGCGATTAAAACAATCACTTTTAATTCAATTTCACACTCTCACAACCCCTGGTGCTCCAGCAAGCAGAGTTGTGGATCAGGCAGTAATAAAAGTAATTTCCATCCACACATCTACAGTCTTTTTGAATGTTTTTTAATGCACACCAAGACCATAAAACTGATGGAAGAAGCACCGCTGGACAACAGCATCTGGATCTAAGACCTTCAGACACACCGGTCATATCAGGTCAGAATGCCACATGAAAAAAACGCAACACAATTCAGGCAATGCACAGTGGCTATTGCACTGCATGACGTGACAGACAACTAGTTTTGTACAGTGCTGTTCTGTTCACACACCACTGATGCAGGTATGCAACTGAAAATTTAAGTTTATAGAATGTGTTAAATGCATGTGAATGTAACCGTATCTAGCACTCTGAAACAGCACTGACACCTGTATGTCCTGCTGCGCACAGTAACGTGCACACACCTTCTGACCTACACAGAGCTGAGCCTTCAACAGCCCCACAAGCCTCTTCACCACAAACCACTCCATCAGTGAGAAAGAGAGCGAGGGAGATGGGAAAACCTCCCAATGTCACCCAGAGTGATTTGTTATGTGCTGGAGGAGAGAGTGTGAGAGTAGATGAAATGATTATACAGTGGCAGGAATGGAAGGAGAGATGGTGTGTGTGCGTGTGTGTGTGTTGAGGAGAGCTTTCGGACAGTCTGCAGATAAAAGTCTTAATTTTAACACACTGCGGGCTGGGGCAAAGTGACACCGCAGAGAAAAAACATATCTCTAGATATTTTTTCAGCCTTTTGACAATGTGTAAATCTATCTTGTCATGATAGGTGATGTTTCTGCATTTGCTCTGAAATGGCTTAAAAAATTATTCTCACTTGACTTAAAAACACTTTTCACTATAGGGATAGGAGGAATGATATTTAATTATAATGACACCTAACAATAAAAAGTAATAAACAGCAATGTAGAATGTACACAACTGTTTTAAAGTCTCTTAAACTCATAAATGGTGCATTTATTTGATTTAAAAAATTGTGTAAAAACAGAAACACAGCGAAATATTAGTTCAATTTAAAATATTTTTTTTATTTGCATATATTTAAAATATAATTTAATCCTGTGATCAAAGCTGGATTTTCAGCATCATTACTCCAGTCTTCAGTGTCACATGATCAGCCCCACAAGCCTCTTCACCACAAACCACTCCATCAGTGAGCAAGAGAGAGAAAAACCTCCTAATGTCACCCAGAGTGATTTGTTATGTGCTGGAGGAGAGGCAGGAGAGAGTGTGAGAGTTGATGAAATGATTATACAGTGGCAGGAATGGAACTGGTGTGTGTGTGTGTGTGTGTGTGTGTGAATGTGTGTGTATCTATGTACACAGCTGTTCTAAAATTTGGGGTTGGTTTTTTTAAATGCTTTTGAAAGTCTCTTATGCTCAGAAATGCTACATTTATTTAATTAAAAAACACAGTAAAAACAGAAACATTATGAAATATTATTTAAATAAAAAATAAAAAAATTATATTTGCATTTATTTTTAAATGTAATTTATTCCTGTGATGTAAAGCTGAATTTTCAGCATCATTCCTCCAATCTTCAGTGTCACATGATCCTTCAGAAATCATAATAATATGCTGATTTGCTGCTCAAGAAACATTTCTGATTATTAATGTCAAATATTACATTAATGCTTAACATTTTTGTGAGCATGATGATTTTTAAAGATCCTTTGATGAAAAGAAAAGTTCAAAAGAGCAATTATTTTAAATACTAAAACATGAAACGAGATGTGGGGATATCAGTGAATATTTGATATCTGAAATAAATTCATTGACATAGACAGTCTAAACTGATTTGAAAAAATCAATCAAAGTTAGTTTTTGTGTTACTCAAGTCAAATGTGATAATAAAATATCTGACTTGACACTCAAAGTTACACAAAATACAAGGAACTTATCAATGACGCAGTCTTATATATTATAAATTGTGATTATTTCTCAGATCTAATGTGGGATGAGTCCACACTTCAACAGAGGAGCGTTTTTTTTTATCTTTAATAATTTCTGCAGTTAAAGTGCTCATCTTTGTTTTAGTAATCATGTTTTTCAGTTGTCATGAGAAAGAAACTTCATTGATTTATTCTCTTGAAGAATCTTTAAAGATCAGGAAGACTAAGAGGAAGTGAACTGAGAGATAATAGAGGTGAAAAAGAGAAAGATGAATTTTATTTTTAGACCGGCAGATGTCTCTCTGAACATTATTTCTGTGATAAAATCACGGGTAATATCTGCATCTAATATCAGCCTAATCAAACCAATGGCAATAAATTAAACTGTCCAATACTGATATATTCATGACTCCTAGAAAAGCTTTCATTAAAACGATCCCTAATTATCTCCTGCACAAACATCAACAGAATATACTGTACATCACAAAGACACACAGAGTAAAGCAGTGATCATGTATATCTGACATGGGAGTTTTTTGCATGTTTCACAGACATGCAAAAAACGCCACATAAAAGGCCTCAACTGCAATTACACAAATCCTGACCTGCCTTTGGACACACACTCTCATATCTCCACTAACCTACAGCTCATTTCCTGTGCCCCTCTCGCTCCGTCTCTGTAAGCGGATGTGTGTGTGTGTGTGTGTGAGTTTAATCTTCCCTTACGTCTTATGTTTCTCGAGTCTCTGCAATTTTCCCTCAGCTTTCATCTCCATGCTGACTACGGTCAGATCATTTCCAAAAAGGCGCACGCACACACGCACGCACACACACACACACATCTGAACAGCTCTCAGATCAGAGGCTTGTGCTCTAACTGCTGCTGCAAATGCAGCGCCACTCACCAGCCTCCTCCTCCTATGATTGACATGTGTCAGTCACGCTTGTTTCTACCCTGACCTGCATCCTCAGTGTTAAAAGTGTTCATTTATTTGTAATGAACCAAACCACCTTTGTCAAATAATAACCTTTAGTAAAATAAGTTCTATTCATTTCAGTGAAAGTTTGAAACTCATTAGCTATCACTGAAAAAAAAAAAAAAAAAAAAAACAGTCACTGACTGCTGTACAATAATAAGCCAATGTTAATTTTTATGCTGTGGTTGATAAGCGATAATATAACTGACATTGTAAACCTACTGTTTTGACTGTTTAAAAGATGTTTACAGACAATCAGAAAAAAACAATTAAGCATAACAACATTCAAATTTACTGTAAAAAGTATAATTTCCTAAGCTGGAATAAAAAATGTGTACATACGTATATTGTTAGAAAAGATTTCTATTTTAAATAAATGCTCTTCTTTTTAACTTTATTCATCAAAGAATCCTGAAAAAAGTATCACAGGTTCCAAAAAAATATTAAGCAGCACAACAGTTTCCAGCACTGATAATAAATCAGCATATTAGAATGATTTCTGAGGATCATGTGACACTGAAGACTGGAGGAATGATGCTGAAAATTCAGCTTTGTTATCATATGAATAAATTACATTTTAATGTATATTAAAATAGAAAAACTTTATTTTACATCATAATAATATTTCACAATATTACATTTTTTTCCTGTATTTTTGATCAAATAAATGCAGCTTTGATGAGCAAAAGAAACTCCTGTAAAAAACATAAAAAATACAAATGTAAAGAAAGAAAGAAAGAAAGAAAGAATCCATCTGTAGCATTTAAAAATTCTGGAGGTTGTTAATGTTGTTTTTTTAATGTAACAATATCAGAAATTGCTTTGGTTACTGTGCATAACATGAAAATAATCTTGTGAATGGTATCAGTCATAATTCCTCTGTGTTTGATCACAACTTACCCTCTTTCTGCTCTGTCATGGTGGGCGTCTGTGTCTCCTTCGTGTAGGACACCACCTCTTTGGGAGGGAAATCCACATGGGTCACCTTCGCCATGGCCAACTTCAGAGGACCACGCCTGGGAGAGAGCACACACACACACACACACACATACACATACAC